TCATTTCATCCTGTTTGTTGTTTGTTCTCTTCTCAGAGAACATGTTCTCGATGGTAAACATTAGAAATATCGATAGGTCTAATATATATTAATACAACAAATGTCCTTATTACTAAAAGAAAATAAAAATGCTAGACTGTCAAATGTTTTCGTTGGATGAAGAAGCATGTATTTTTGATGCCCATTGAATCGATTGTCCATATAATTTAAATGTATCCATATGTTGTTGTCCGATGATAATGTCGTATGAACCTGGATGAAGCCATTTGGTACCATGTCGTGCAATGGTTAATAAATGACGAACAGTTAATGGAAAAAAGACTTCTTTGGTTTGGTTAACAGCTAAATTGATACGTTCAAAGCCAAACATTTGTTTGATTGGTGATATTTCTCCATTTATTGTTGCATTATGTGATCTAACAAATGCTAAGACAACATCATCACCTGACATATCACCAGTATTGGTCACATTAACACGAAACAGTCGAACAAGAACTCGATGCTCATCATAGTTTTTTTGTATTAATGACGAAATCGAATACGATGACGAAATATTAGTATCATTATTCCATGAATAAAGAAATGTTGTATAGGAAAGACCACTTCCAAATTCATATACTGCTTTGCCCATATAAAATTTATAGGTTCTGCCAGGATTTGTACTTGATGGTCTCATCTGCATATCGAACATACTTACATCGTCGACATAGGATGCTGGATACATAGTAATTGGTAAACGTCCACCAGGATTATATTGACCAAAAATAACGTTACTTATTGCTAAACCACCTGATTGCCCGGCATAACCCATCCAAATGAGACTGCCAAATTGAGGTGAATCACGAATGTAAGTTAGATCTAAACCACTACCAGACATAATTATAACATGAATAGGTGAACGAACGACTTTTTCAAGTTGATGCATGAGAGCAAATTGTATATCAGGTAAGGTAATCGATGTACGATCAAAACTTTCGCCTTCAATCGATTGATCTAGTCCACCAAAGAATATAACAATATCGGCCAATTTGGCCAATTCAATAGCCGCTGAAAAACCACTCTGATCGGGATCCTTTATTTTACAACCGTACGCAAATTCAACATCAATCAATTTACCTTAAACTAATGTGCAATAAAACGAAATTTTTTGTTATTCAATAAAATACCTGTTGTTATTGCTTTGATTGCTGTGACTGGATCAATAAGAAATGGAGCCTTACCGTAATAACTTCCTTGCATTAAAACTGTTGCATTTGCCGTCGGTCCAATCAATGCAATTTTTTTGTTTACTAATTGATCAATATGTAATGGCAATGATTTATTAACATTCTTCAATAAGACAATGCTTTCTTGAGCACTTTCTAATGATAATTTTCGTGATTGAGATGTATCGACGTCGGTTTTTGTCAACTGTCGATAAAACTGTTGTTCAGATGGATCAAACCAGCCGAGTCGAATTAGAACATTGAATGTACGTTCAAGGGCACGATCAATATCTTCCTCAATAATTGTTTTGTTATCAAGTGCTTCTTTTGTATGTTTTAAATAGAAATCACCACAATTGAGATCTGTACCGGCATGAAGAGCTACAGCAACTGTGTCTTGTACGGTCGACGTATAATGATGTGTTTCCATAATGGTTGCAATGGCTCCACAATCACTGACTACAAAACCGTCGAGATGAAATGATTCTCTAAGAACAAAACATGTGAACTTTACAAACAAGCAACGACTGGCAGAATTTACCGTGCAAGTATTTCAATTTCAAATTGATTAGCACAACTCGGTATACCATTAATTGAATTGTAACTACACATGATACTTGCAACATGAGCATCACGAATACATGTTTCGAATGGTGGTAAAAATGTTTCGACCAAATCTTGGTCACTTATTTTTGCGTCAAAATGAAAACGATCAGTGCCATTCCAATTTTCTAAATCGTATGCATTATATGCTTTACAGTTAGCTGCTATTTTCAAATAGCGTTCATCTTCACCATGTTGTAAACCTTTAACTAATGCATAGACATATTCAGATGTAAGAAATGGGTCTTCACCAGGTGTTTCCTGACCACGACCCCATCGTGGATCTCGAAAAATGTTAACAGTTGGTGTAAAGAAATTAAGACCTGCTTGATCTTCGTTATTGAATGCACGTGCTTCTGTTGATATAACATTAGCTATCTGATAGACAAGACGCATATTAAATGAAGCTCCAAGATTGATCGGCATTGGAAAAGAAGTAGCTGCTGGTAGATCTCCACCAAATGAAACACCAGGTGAATAGGCTAAGCCATGTAAAGCTTCTGACCACCATTCATACTTGGGTAGACCGAGACGAGGTATAGCAGCAGCTGTTGTAATCATTTGCGTAACTTTTTCATCTATTGTCATACGACTGACTAAGTCAGCAGCTCGTTGTCGAGTAGGAAGTGCTTGATTACAAATAGGAAAAGTTGAAAGTGGTCCTGATTTACAATCGGGAAAATTGCCAAACTGACCATGAACCGAAATTATCACAATGCACAGCAGTTTCACAAAAATATGCATGATATCTGTAAGGCAAAATATACTTATCTTCTTCTAACGAAACATTGGGTAGAGTGACATAAGATAATGAATACAGTAACACCTATATGTGTCGTTTGAAAGATACTTGTGTAGCCGCACATTATTGCCTTCTGCCGATATTTTGTTTAATGTTCTCTCACTGACAGCGGAAATACTTCGATTGGAACAATTTTTTAAATTTCATAGGACTGCTTTAAGGTATTATTCTAATACTATTTCACATTGCTACGTATATTTTTTTTGAATTATTATTCTAATGTCTCATTATCTACTATCGTGTTTGTCGTCTTCGAATAACAGACAATCGACTACTATCACCATCGCTTTACTTATGATGGATCTGATTCATGCATCTGATTTATGAGAACAGATTTTATTACTATTTACAAATATATTTTTCAGCAACCTCGAAGTTTTATCGTACATACATGTATATGCTTTCGTATATTGTGGTAGATTCTATGACATATTTTTTAGATAGACACGTTTATTATAAGTTACACTGAGGTGTGCGCTGACTCTGGTTTGAGTTGATGCAATATATCAAGAGAAGCAAGGCGAGGAAGATAAGGAACGAATGAAAAAATAAGAGCTGAGATGAAAAGTAAGTAAATGAATAAAGTTCTCGACATATTGGAGAACCTCGCTGTAGTAGAAGACTCTTTCTAACGATTGGATGGGTGTGAATGTGGGCATAACATGTCATGTTATTTACATTCTCACACACTCATTTCCATTAGTAATAAGAAACGATAAATGGTGCAAGTGATCTATCTTATTCTTTGAAAAATATTGTTCTATTATAAATCGTGTCAAGCTTTTAGTGTGTATTTAATTGTATATTTTTATAAACACTCTTTCTTTGTTATTGTGCAAGTATAAAAATAAGTAAAAAAAGATTCATTTATTATTTATGGTTTTAAGAAAAAAAACGTTGGAATTAACAGCTGTTTGTTGACACTGCCTAAACCATATGACTTTTCTGAGGGTACAATAGAAGGTCCCAGGCCTTTAGACGTTTCGAGATAAATTTAAAAAGCTAAGAATATAATAATTTGTTGTATTAGACATATGGTAGGAATCATTAATTTCAGCCAAAAAATTCGATTTTATTTAATTAATCATTTTGATTGTGTTCATGTTTTTTCAGTCGATATGTCTTTGAAAATAATCAGAATGTGACCTATCGTAGCTTTAGAGTGTACCAATAAAGCAAACATAAATCAATTTTTTTTTCAAAATCTAAGCGAGAAAGTCTCGCTTGCTTTATGAGAAATCACTGAAAACATTCAATAAATCTATTTGAAAAAGCTTTTATCACAATCCATGTCGGATTAAAATGTGAAACATGATGGAGACAACCGTAACCAGCTACTAGATTCCTGCTTCAAAGTTCGCCTGAATCATTATCCTAAGTATGGATGTCGTAAAAAAAATACGGCCTGATTAAAATTTAACTTTATCTGCTCCGTATACGATCATAAAATGTTCAATGTTTGAAACTTGTAGCTAAAACGAGTAAGTACGATTGAAGAAAACACGCTATCTTGAGGGTAGACTGATCGATACTGCACTTTAAAAATCTAGGACACATGGCCCTGTTTTTGACTGAAATGATAATTTTAATCAATGAGCTTGATAAAACAAAAAAAAATATATCTATTTTATCAATAGAGCTGACATTGTTTTTGACATAAAAGTCACGAAAGTCATAAAATCTTTTTGATTTTTCAAGTCACGGGGTAACGTGTCCTAATCTCTTCTGATTGAACTATTTGCACTAATGTAAACAAGGGGGTGTGGGTATGACTTTGGATAGAAACAAACTCACACCCACACCCACACCCACACCCTCTTTTTTTTATAGGAATTGATGTTCTATATGATACATTAAATGATTTAAATCAAAAGATTAGATCGAAATTAAATAGTGCTTTACGAGAACTTTAAAATGAACAATAGTAAAAACAACGTCCAATACATAACAAAATAGTAACATTTTTTTCAACATGAATATTTGTAACATTTAATATGTGGGTTGACAAATAAAAGAGAAGAAGATAAAATTTTAAAAAAGTCACATTCAGAACAGTACGTGACAAGATAGTAGCTTACATTATCACCAACAGGGGGGAACCGGAATATAGTAAGACTTTCATCAACTGAAATGATAATGTTCTTTTCCCATAGTTATTATACCATAAAATAAATTATTTTCTCTCGTTCATATATTATTCAATGATTATGTTCGATCAACTTTTATTTTTCTTACTTTAGACATTCATTATTCTATTTATTCTATATCTTTATATTTTTATTTCTTCAAACAATATTTGCTTTGATATTCTTTTCATTTCAATGTTTTAATACTATATAGATTATTAATCTTCTTTAAAAATATTTTATTTAAATAATCATTGATAACAATCACAATATTTTTGTATAAGGAAAATATTCTTTTACATATATAGGAATTTGAAATATATCATTTAGACCTAAACAACGTAGTTTTATACAATTTAATTGTGTTGTATTTCTTGTAAATTGTTGTGTCACTCTGTTCAATGCTTGATAATCAACAGTAAGATAAATACCATTTGGTAAACAGGTTTTCGTATCAAGTAGAAATTGTTCGATATAATCATCATGAGCTTCAACAAGATCCAATTCAGAAAGATATGGATATTCAATGATTGATAAATGTTGATTATTATCATCATCTAATTTTCTAGATTGTTTATTATTTTGTGATTTTTCATTAATCAAAGTTAATTTTTTCATGAATGGAAATGATTGAGAAATTTGAAAAAAAAATTCATGTTCAAAAGATCGTTCATCAAATAATGATATTTCACGAACATATTTAAATGTTTCACCAGAAAAATTATTTGTTATTTTATGATATTCTTTCCATTCATATGAATATATGAATAAATATGACATTCACTTCGTTCAAGCTCGGAAAAATAATCAAGACAACAAATAATTTGTTTATTTTGAAAGTTATTGAATGTATATTGAATATCTTCCTTCGACAGTAAATTAATTTCATTATGAAGACGAACAGCAGACCGAATATTAAATGTAAATTTATTTAATTGTGGCATATGATTGATAATATTTTTTTCAAATCATTTCCATCAATAAATGTTTTCTTACCATAAATTATAAGATATAAAGGATGTGGGTGTGGATGTGGGTGGGTGGTGTGGGTGTGGGGTGTGTGAGTGTGTGTGGGTGTGGGGTGTGGGTGTGGGTGTGGGTATGGGTGGGTGTGGGTATGGGCGGGTGTGGGTGTGAGGTGTGGGGTGTGGGTGTGGGTGTGGGTGGGGATGGGTGGTGTGTGAGTGTGGGTGTGGATGTGGTGGTGCGTGTGGGTGTGGGGTGTGGATTTGGGTCTTTGGTGAAACCACACGCACCACCACATCCACACCTACACCCACACCCACATCCTAGTCGAGTCGAGTCGATTTGCCGAGTACTCGACTCGTTTTCGGTCTCTGGTTTGAAATGATATCAGCAATAGAATGAAAAGGTTTGAGTACTCCTTAAACTGATGAACAACAAATGGAAGTGTTATTGATAGGATGTAATGTAACTTTTAACTCAGAACAGATCGGATGAGCAGTATACGAAACTGAAAAAAATGCCATCCTTTAATAGTTTACTATTTTTCAGGAAACGATCATTTATCGTTTCATTGCCTGTTTTTATATATATATTGAACATTCGATATCTCACGAATAAAGGCGCGAGCGAATGAATCCTTTTTAGGCTTTTCATACCTCATCGAGATCCACTTATAGCCAACAGATGCGCTCTAAAATGCTTGAAGATCTAAATATGTTTTCTCGTCAGTTTCTCTTCTATCGCTGACATTCGTATGAGAATTACAATCTTTCTGAATATGAAAAAATTGTTTGATATAAAACAATAATCATTAATAAGAAACGATTTCCATTTTTTCTTCAAGTAATCTTTTCATTTCTCGAAATCATTTTGGGAGATTTTTCTAGATAACTGATCAAACTGTTTGCAGTTTTCGAAACATTATGAGAATAAGAAATAATAATTACATTTTTTTATATAAGTTGACAATTTATCAAACGTTTCTGTGAGAAATATACATAATTGATTTTGCTCATGCATTTCTTTTATAATAACTCTGAATGAAAACAGCATTTTCTGGTACTTCAATGGAACAAAATTAAACAAAGAGATAATGCATCATGTAGCCTTTAAAAATCTGTACGAATCTATATGATTAGATTTATAAAATGCTTATTCAATATAGCTCATGCAATTCACGTATAGAACACAGTATCGAATCTCATATTAAAACAAGATATTGGAGCGTGGAAATCACATACAGTATGTTTAGAGAACTATCAAATGTAGTGTGATCTAAATAATTTTTTATGTAGATTATGAATCTGAAATCAATTTTTTTACTGTGAACAAACATAGCATATATAATGTCTGATTACCGACCAAAATGCCTATTAAGGACTATCATAGTGCACCAGTTGTGGTCCCTACTAAAAATCGAGGACCGTCTGTTTGCACATTGAGTAATATACCTAAAGATGCAGAATTTCAAGGGCTTTCAGAAACTGGATTCAATTTTTTGGGATGGGACCATTCGACGAGGCTAGAGGCAAATTACTAGCTAAACGACGACTATAGACCATAGATCCCTCCTCTCTTTTGGAAGCGCAATCAATTATAAAAATCCATTCTAATGACTATTGAAATAGGTCATTTGGTAGAAAGTTTTTTTCTGCATCTTTTGAGACCTCTCTCGACTTACAGTGATGAACAAAGGCAGAGAAAATATCAAAATACCATCAAAATGTGGAAAGAAAAAACATTTGTTAAAATTTTTATGGTCCAAACACAAAAAATTGACCATTGTGATCTTCGGCATTTTTCACAAGCACGTCAGAAAAACGTGATATTTTGGATTTATAGGTTTCTCTATATAGTCTTTCATTTGCGCTAAAAAAAATCAAAAATAAAATTTTAGCGACGGCCGGCCTGGTCGATGATCTGGCGGGCCCTCTCTTAAACAATATTTTCACTAATTTTACTTTAGAAAAGATCTCGTTAGCTAACCAAGAGAATTTCATCTTTACAAGTTGAAAATTCGTATAAAAATATTTATGTTCTATACTCCTTAATGTTGAAATCAATCACTTCAAACTGTAGTAGTTCTCGGGCAGTAACTATTATGTAAAAGTATTATCAAAGGATTTGCTTGTAAGCTCGGATTTACTTGTTCAAGAAATACTCAACATCATAAAGCTATTTCGAAGTTATTTCGATCATTGTATATAATATTTTCATGATTTACATCCCACTTATTGAGCGCTGGTTTTTTCTGTACTAATATTTTACTCGGTAAAAATCATAGATCAGAAAATATATTCTCTTTTTTATACTTTTTTTACTTGTTTCTAATCATAAAGCAACATATTTGAGGCAAGTGTGGGTGTTGTTTTATTAATCAATCAAACCCAACACAGACACACACACATTCACAAGCATACTGCACACGCCAACCCACACCGACACTCACTCACATCATCTCCTCATTCCACACTCCTCCCCCACCACACATGCATCCATATCCATAAGCATACTACCCACACTCTCTCACAAGCCCACTACTCACACCCACCCCCTTGTTGAATTTCGCTTTGACATTCGCAAATGAGAAGATAGGGACATCATTATCCAGCTTCTGCGGATTTTTTGACTATAAAAAGATGTAAAAGATTCAAACAGTGACAGTTCAGTCGTTAGAATTCCATTAGCCATAGGACTAAACGTTTCAATGAGGGAATTATCTTGATCAAGCCTCTAGAAGTGGTGAAAACATGAAAATGTTGATTGTGCAATTGATTCAGGGTCATTTTTTTCAATCATTTCATTGCTTTTTTTCTTCTAATCATACCTGTGAAGAGTAAATAGCATAACTGAAAAATAGATAATATCAGTAACATTTATAGATAGTGATGAGTAAGACATGCACAAGGCTAGATAGATATTTCAATTTGTTAAAAACACTATTAACACAACGTTACTTTTCGTTTTTTTCTCTCATTAGATATGAGTGATGATAGTATCTGCTCGCAAACTGTAAAAGCAAAGCTAGTTTGCCATTCAATATATCTACGAATAGTCTACCGATATGGATGATTGATTTTGAATGGGTGATTGTATGTTCTCCCTCACAGAAAGATATAAGCAGACGTAGACTGAAGCATTTCATCAAACATATCGACTCGAGAACGACTTCCATATCAACATCAACCAAATACAAGTGAATACATTTTCAATGCAAACACTGAAGGTTGCCGTTATATTTCTTACTATGATGATCATGTTTTGCGCTGCTCGATCAGCCAGAAACTATTTGGATGATGATGCCGACAATGAATTCCAAGAACGAAATATGGTTCTTCGTCAACTTGTCGACCAACTGATGGGAAAACGTACTTATTGTTCATTTTCATTATGATCCGACATTTTACTGAAGAATGATTTAGAAGATGGAGAGAATCACATAAATGAATACAATGTTGATTCCTAATATTCATTACCTATGCAATCCTTGATCATAGATTTGATGAGTTTTCTCTCGTAAGAAGTCAATAAAAGGCATGTATGCAATATTTGTTGGATATATTCAATCATCATGTCATAATTACTCACATATTTATTTATATTGATCAACTTAGAAATTCAAGGCAGTTGAATGAAGTCTTCCTTAACATTATTCATTTATCATTGGATCTTTCTTCACAGTTCCAACATTACATACCTACTGTGAACAAGATGATCTTATCGAAAAAAGGTATTCTTACTGCTGATCTATTCGCTTTTGACAAAAGGATTACTCATAGGCTCATCGTTCACTCTCTATTATGAGGTAAGTGAAAGAGATGAATGTATTCTTGTTTGATGATATTCTCTTTTCATGCTTTCATCCATAATCATGCCGATAACCTATATTTACTCGGAACAACATTACTCATTTGAATGGTATACTTGTGACTATAATCACTTTTTATGTGATGCTTGTTGGTAGATTTAATGATGTTTTTTCTGCTTGAAGATTGATAAAAGACTTGAATGCAATCGTGGTTGGTAATATTCCTTTACCATATATATGCCTAACAATATTAATGTCATGCATCAATCCCATAGATATTGTTGACTCGAATAGAAATATTGCTGGTATATTCATTTTTGATGTAGTAACTGCTCATAAATGCAAGATTAGTATTATCCTTAACAGGTGATGAGAGAAATCAATATGAACTTGATTGAAAATATTCCATCTCATTGCAGTCGCTAAAACAGATGTCCAACCTTGTTCATAGACTTAGAAAATGGTAAAATAAAGGAATACAAGTTTAGTAGACAGTATTCATGCATCACTTGATCCTTGCTTATAGTTTCGATATTGATCGTTCATTTAACAACATATGACATAAATGAAAATTTTTTTGACACTATTTATTTGCAATGGAGTCCCAACTCGAAAGTTTAACACGATAATTTTGTTTAGAAGCCTATGAAATACATGAATGCATACTTCGTTCCTAATATTCATTTAATATGTAATCATTGCTCATAGGTTCAACTTTGACTCTCTGATTTAATAGACATGAAAAGATGGACAATATTATGGTTAGCATTCTTTAATTATCATGTTTTCATTATACATAAATTCATTGCGATTGCTCTGCTAAGAAGCACATGAAAACAATGAATGTAATCATAGCAATATTCACTGATCACTAAGTCATAGTTCAGGGATAAAATGCCCTATTACTACTTAGATTAAAATGATTCATTTGAATGAAATTGTTGTTATTTCGTTTATTTACGATATTATCTTTGCCCCTGGTTCCTATGTTCAACTGTTGGAGCAA